GATTGCATGCCCCTGGCCACGATGCCCCCCCCCCGCCGTCGGCCCGCTCTGAAGGGCAACGCTGGGGCGGAGGGGTCGGCTCAGGGGCAGAGACACCGAGCTTGAATCAGCGATATGTCGCCGACAGTCGAGGGGCCCGAGGACACACAAATGAATACACACACATAAAAAGATTCCCCATCTGTTCATATATTTTCTGGGTTTCGTGTCTTCCCCCCCACTTCCTATATTTTCCCATATTTCCTGGGGAATCGCACGGAGGAGGAGGAGGAGGAAGAGGAGGAGGAGGGAGGAGCAGGAGGAGGAGGGAGAGGAGGAGGGAGAGGAGGAGGAGGAGGAGGAGGAGGAGGATTCAGTGCGTCTGTGTGCTTCTTTTCCTCCTGAGACCGATCGGCACGAGGCCCCCGATCGCGGAACCCGCACGCTCCTGCGCCCCGGCGGGCGCTCGGGTCCCACATAGCGGCGATCGGCGGGCGACCGCGGGGGTCGAGGTCTCCCCCTCCTCCTCCTCTCCTCCGCCTCCTCCTCCTCCTCCTCCCTCCCCCCTCCCCCCTCCTCCTCCTCCTCCTCCTCCTCCTCCTCCTCCTCCCCCTCCCCTCCTCCTCCTCCCCTCCTCCTCCTCCTCCTCCTCCTCCTCCTCCTCCTCCTCCTCCTCCACCTCCTCCCCTCCTCCCTCCTCCTCCTCCTCCTCCTCCTCCTCCTCCTCCTCCTCCTCCCTCCCTCCTCCCCCCTCCCCCCTCCTCCTCCTCCTCCTCCTCCTCCTCCTCCTCCTCCTCCTCCTCCTCCTCCTCCTCCTCCTCCTCCTCCTCCTCCTCCTCCTCCTCCTCTCCTCCTCCTCCTCCTCCTCCTCCTCCTCCTCCTCCCCTCCTCCTCCTCCTCCTCCTCCTCCTCCCCTCCGCCTCCTCCTCCTCCTCCTCCTCCTCCTCCTCCTCCGCCTCCTCCTCCTCCCTCCTCCTCCTCCTCCTCCTCCTCCTCCTCCTCCTCCTCCTCCTCCTCCTCCTCCTCCTCCTCCTCCTCCTCCTCCTCCTCCTCCCCCAGAGCCTGCCCCCCGCCGACGCTGCCCCTGACCCTGCTGCCCCTCCTCGGCCTCTGGAGGCCCACCTCGGGCTCCGGGGCGGCCCCGAGTCGGCCCAGGGTGAGGGCTGCAGAGTGGCCCCCCTGGAGGGGTCCGGGGGCCGATCCTGAGCGAACGGGGGAGGAGGAGGAGGAGGAGGAGGAGGAGGGGGAGGAGGACAAGCTAGGTGCGCTCGCGTCATATCTGACGTCCTACCCCTCCCTCCCATCCCTTACCATGGCGCTGATTTTCTCTATCCGCGGACGCGTGTCGTAGCGGACCTGTGGCTCCGCGCGCGCGTGCGTAGTGGGTGGTGGTGCACGTGCGTGCGTGCGTGCGTGTGTGCGTGGTTGTCGTGGTGGTGGTGGTGGTGGTGGTGGTGGTGGTGGTGGTGGTGGTGGTGGTGGTGGTGGTGGTGGTGCTGGTGTGGTGGTGGTGGTACTGGTGCTGGTGCTGGTGGTGGTTGTGTGTGGTGGTGGTGGTGGTGGTGGTGGTGTGGTGGTGGTGGCGGTGCGGCGCGGTGGTGGCGGGCGGATGGGCGCGCGAGAAAAAGGCCCGCGCTGGGGCGAGAACGCCATCCTGAACGACGGAGGCCAAACACCGATCCGAAAATGAGGCCCACGCTGCAGCGGGAGCACGATTCGACACGATTCGGGAGCAGAAATGAGGCCGGCGCCTCAACGAGAGCAGCACTTTGGGAAAAAATGACGCCGGCGCCTCAGCGAGTCGTTTCCCGGGATTTCCCGGGCATCCTGTGTGTAAACAAGCAGTACGCGGAGGGTGCGCGGCCATCACCCGGACGCCATCAGGGGAAGAGGGAGAGTATTTTCATATTGAGTAATTGTGGAGGAGGAGGAGGAGGAGGAGGAGGAGAAGAGGGAAAAAAAGGAGGAGGAGGAGGAGGAGGAGGAGGAGGAGGAGGAGGAGGAGGAGGAGGAGATGGGCCGCGGGTCGGCAATCACTGCTCGAGGTGCCCCCCCCCAACGTCGCGCGCCATCTGGGGCCCCCGGGGCTCGTGGATGGGGCGCCCCATGGGCCTGGAGGCCCTCCGAGCCTCCCTGGAAGAGCTGGGGTCCCCCTTGCGAGGTCACTTCCTGGCCATCGCTCGGACGTCCATTCCCTGTGTTTTTTGTTCGGTTTCGTGCATGTTTGTTATTTTTCGCCAAGTGATCAAGGATGTTCCTCGATGGCCCTCGCCGAGAAAGAATGCACACGTCCCAGCGATGTCAGGCCTCTGGCAGCACCCGAGCCGGCGCGGGGGCACTCACTCCGCAGGACTCGAGTCGGGGAGCGATGGGGCCTCCTGCCCCACAGGTTATATTCGAAGTTCACAGCTCGAGCTCTGAGGCGGGCCTCTGAGTGGCCACCAGGACGGTTCCTGACCTGGAACCTGGGGGCCCCATGGCCCTCGAGAGAACCCACGCGCGATACGGCCAGATTTTTGTTCGCCAGATGATCCAGGATGCTCCTCGATGGCCCTCGCCGAGAAAGAATGCACACGTCCCAGCGATGTCAGGCCTCTGGCAGCACCCGAGCCGGCGCGGGGGCACTCACTCCGCAGGACTTTTGAGTCGGGGAGCGATGGGGGGCCTCCTGCCCCACAGGGTACTCTGATGTCGGGCGTGTCCCCCTACAGGGGGAGTGTCGACGAAAAAGAAAAAAACTCCAACAATGCCACTAGAAGGTCAAAACATACTCAAAAAATAGTCCCCAGGCTATTTGTACTATTGTTTAATAATTTTTGGGGTACTTTTAATTTTTCGTCGAAACTCCCCCTGTAGGGGGACAGGCCCGACTTAAGGTTATTCGAAGTTCACAGCTCGAGCTCTGAGACGGGCCTCTGAGTGGCCACCAGAACGGTTCCTGACCTGGCACCTGGGGGCCCCATGGCCCTCGAGAGAACCCACGCGCGATACGGCCAGATTTTTGTTCGCCAGATGGTCCAGGATGCTCCTCACTCCGCAGGACTTTTGAGTCGGGGAGCGATGGGGGCCTCCTGCCCCACAAGGTACTCTGATGTCGGGAGTGTCCCCCTACAGGGGGAGTGTCGACGAAAAAAAGAAAAAACTCCAAAAATGCCACTAGAAGGTCAAAACATACTCAAAAACTAGTCCCCAGGCTATTTGTACTACCTTTCAATAATTTGGGGGTATTTTCAATGTTTCGTCGGAAATGCCCCTGTAGGGGGACAGGCCCGACTTAAGGTTATTCGAAGTTCACAGCTCGAGCTCTGAGACGGACCTCTGAGTAGCCACCAGGACGGTTCCTGACCTGGCACCTGGGGGCCCCATGGCCCTCGAGAGAACCCAAGCGCGATACGGCCAGATTTTTGTTCGCCAGATGATCCAGGATGCTCCTCGATGGCCCTCGCCGAGAAAGAATGCACACGTCCCAGCGATGTCAGGCCTCTGGCAGCACCCGAGCAGGCGCGGGGGCACCACTCAGCAGGACTTGAGACGGGGAGCGATGGGGCCTCGCCCGGGACCCGGCCGGGGATCAGCCGGGGTACTTTTCGTCTGGGGGCCCCCAGGGGCCGCCCCGCGCGCGCGAACTAGAAATATTGTTAAGTAGTTACCGGAGATCTTAGCACGCCTCTGGCCCGTTGGGCCGGCGAATTCGAAGTTCACAGCTCGAGCTCTGAGGCGGGCCTCTGAGTGGCCACCAGGACGGTTCCCGACCTGGCACCTGGCACCTGGGGGCCCCGTGGCCCTCGAGAAAGCCCACGCGCGATACGGTCCTGGGGGCCCAGTGGCCCTCGAGAAGACTCCCTTGTGAAAAGGTCCTGCGCGGCCACCAAGCCCCTTCTGGCCGCCAGGCCCGATAAAGGATTGCGCAACGCAGGGCGTAGCGAACAGACGGAGTCGGGGATACCTGGCCCGCAGCTGTGACCAGAGAGAGGGGATGGATGCTCAGCTCTGCCAGTTGGAAGGCCGACCAGGTGATGGAGGCGGAGCCCTAACTTTTTGAGTCTCTGGAGGTCGCCCTCTGAAGGGTCTCTCCTTAAGTCGGTGACTCAAAGATGTGGTCTGGAAGGATGGGGATCTAAGGATAGGAAGGGGTCCAAGGGTGGATTGACAACGAGGTGGGTTCGGCCTCTGTGAGGTCAGATCTCATTCTTCTTGGCTTGCGCCCGTGGGTGCCCTTATTGAACTAGCGGTTTAAAAGAGCGAACGGCTTCTGGGAGAACTCTTGTTCAGACTCGGACCTGGCCCAAGAGAAACATTTGCTGAATTCTCGGTCCCGTCCGTCCTGTAGACCCACCGGATTTCAACTTCGCACGCTCATTTTCCGTGAATTCGGCGCCGCTTTTTCCGCGGACGATTCTCCCCCGCTGTGGCCCCTGCCCGAAGGTAGTGCTCTGTGACTCTCAGGTGCCGCTCGCCACGGGGACCCATCTGCCCGCCGGGTCCCCTCATGGAGGTGGCCTCTCTCGATTCCTGCGCGCCGCTCACCATCAGGACCCACCTCATCGAGATGCCCATGACATGGCAGGCGATTCTTCATGCTTGGCCCGTCGGCAACATGAGCACTCGTGACCCTAGGATGCCCCAACCCCCCTCCTGAGTTACCCGCCGTCGCTCGGCCGTCCATTCCCCGTGCATGTTTGGGTTTCGCGCGTGCTTTTGTTGGCCCGATGGTCGACGCCCGAGCGATGCCAAGTCTCAAAGGCCCGGGGGACTTCCGAACCTTTCGGGAGCGGCCAAGAGGGGGGGGTCCAAGAGAGGGGGGTGCAAATCATGACCGGCGGCATGTGCGCGGCCCAGCGGGCGGGCCAGGGACGTAATGAAATAAGAAGAGGCGCCATGAAATCTGGGGAGATATCGTGGCCCCCGCCATGATATCCACCCCCCCCTAGTCATCACCCCCCTCTTTTCTGCTCCCGATTTTGTCAAGGCCTTCTCCTTCTCACCCCCCCCCGGGCACGCCGCCGAGAAAAACGGAGAACCCCGACGCCGTCTCGCGTTGGCCGCCCGCCCCCGCGCCCGACGAGGCCTCCCGCGGCTCCCCCACACCCCGCCCGCGGCGCAGAAGGCCTTCGGGAGACTGTGCCACCGCAATGCCGCAGGCATTGAACCTGCCGCGCAGGGCCTGCTCGTGCGCCGGCGACCCGATCCAACCTGGGAGGGCGCCGACCATAGAAGAAGAGAAAACGGCCCACACACATATATATATATATATATATATACATATATATAAGAATAAAAGAAACTTGTGGCGCTCCGCGAGGATCTCTTACATCTGCGCTGGGCCACCCTCCCTGGCGCGCGGAGCGCGCCAGGGGCGGCGCTGGAGGCGCCGCTGGGAGGGCCCAGCGCAGATCCGAGAAATCCGCCCGGAGCGCCGAAAGCTTATGTTTATGCCGCCGTAGTTTTTCTTCTCGAGACGAATCATTGACACCGACACCATCGCCGGCCAAATACGCGAAGCGCGGCTACCTCGGCACCCCTGTGGACTGGCCAATCCTTGGCCCGGCACCAGATCGGGGGCGCGCAAACATGGATTAACGATCCATGGATTTGGCTCGCGGCAGCCAACTCCACGGATCGGGGGAGACGCCCTGCCCAAAATGCGGCCGGTGCCGCCTCGCTCGGCGGCGGAAATCCACGATTTCCCATGGCAACGGAACCGGTCGCTAATCCACGCCCCCTTAATCCATGTTTGCGATCGTCTGACCAGAGCGTACGCCGCCTGGGCCCCGCCAAGACTGCGCATGCACTGATGCCAAGACTGCGCCAACCTTGGCGGCGCGAACGATGGGGCAGGGAGAAGAGGGAAAGGCTGCTTAGAAAGAGGCTGCCTCTTGGAAGGCGCCGGCCTTACATCTGCCGACGAGGCCCGCGCCTTCTGAAAAACAAAAGTACTTCTTAGAAGCCTGCCCGGCTCCCCCTACCCTTAGATCGGGCATGTCCCCCTGCAGGCGGATTTGGGGGGAATAATTTCAAAGATCGCCAAACAAGCTCAACAAATGCTCACACATACCAAACAAAACGTCCCCTGACATTTGTTATCCTATGTTTGCATATTCCTCCTGTAGAGGGACAGTCCCAACTTGAGCCTAACACCCTCTGCGCGTGTCTGATGACTGGGCCGCGCGCGGGCGACTATGTTAAGCAGGGGCCGACCGTCCCGGCATTTCTGTAGCCTACCAGGGAGCGCTCTTAGAACCCAAAAATATTATGATAACAAAAGCAATAGTCTTAGAACATCAACCCGACGTGTTAAACCAAGACAGCATCGGCCAGAAATGTTCTAAGAGCATTTCGTGGAAACCACAACAGGTTCTCACAACATCGTTCGGCCGGCCTATAGGCGAGCCGGGACGATTCGCCACTGCTTGACCATGTGAATATCATTGGCGACGGCCCGCAGCCGTCCACGGCGCAGGCCGCCACATCCTTCGACCAGCAGTGGCACAGGTTCTCCTCGGGAGCGGCAAAGAGGGGGGTGTCCAAGAGGGGAAGGTGCAAATCATGACCGGCGGCATGTGCGCGGCCCAGCGGGGGGGCATGGGAAGCAATAACATAAGAAAAGGCGCCATGAAATCTGAGGAAAAATCATGGCCCGCGCCATGGAATCCCCCCCCCTAGTCATCCCCCCCTCTTCTCCGCTCCCGCTCTCCGCGACGCCGCAGTGCACCCCGCGGAAGGCCGCCACGTGCTCCTCGAGGCCCCCGTGGGAGTACGGCAGCGCGCCCGAGGCCACGGCCGGCGGCGCGCAGGAGCGGGCGGTGCTCGGGGGGGGGGGGCCGCCCGCCCCTCCCCCCCCCCCCCGGGCGACGCCCCCCCCTGACCTTCCAGAGAGTTTTTGTTTTAGCACTGGATACCTAAAAACCTAACAAACGAGACGAAACAGCCTAAAACCAAGACGTAGCATAGCTCTGGGATAGGTTCTTCAGTCGCGTGCTATTTTTGAGCTCTCCTGGAAGGTCAGGGCCCCCCCCCCTGCCTTCGGGGGAGAGCCTGCCCCTGACGCAGCCAGGGGGGCGGCGTCGCAGGTCCCCGTCGGGCGCCCCCCCCCCCCGAGGAGCGGCACCGCGTCCCCCTCCGTGCCTGTGCGGGGCGCCCTGCTTCTGTGCGAGGGGGCCACCCCCTCGGCGTCCTGACCGCGACCCGCAGCCGCTCCGGAAGAGGTCACCGGACGCTGAGGGGCCCATTGTCCACCACGACCACCATGGGAAGGACGGGGGAGCAGGGAGGATGGGGAGGTTCTCCTCCTCCTCCTCCGCCTGCCCCTCCTCCTCCTCCTCCTCCTCCTCCTCCTCCTGCTCCCCATCTCTCCGTTTCCCATTGCTCCGCCACGTCCGTCACCCGAACTCGGCGCGCTCTTCTATCTGGGCCGATCCTCCTCCTGCTCCTCCTGCTGCTGCTGCTGCTGATCCTCCTCCTGCTCCTCCTCCTCCTCCTCCTCCTCCTCCTCCTCCTCCTCCCTCCTCCTCCTCCTCCCCTCCTCCTCCTCCTCCTCCTCCTCCTCCCTCCCCCTCCCCCTCCTCCTCCTCCTCCTCCTCCTCCTCCTCCTCCTCCTCCTCCTCCTCCTCCTCCTCCTCCTCCTCCTCCTCCCCCTCCCTCTACGACATACGGTGCAGCAGCGGCTGTTTCAAAATCGGCCCATCAGACGCCACCCCACCCCAGCCTGGAGCCAGCCGCGGCCCGTCTTCGTGTCCCGAGCCGCGTCGGGCCGCGGCGGCCGGCGCCCCCAGGAAACGCTGCCTGGCCGTCGAAGGCCGCCGTCGGGCGACGGCCTCCCCCCGCGCCCTCGTGCGCGCCGCCACCGCCCCGCGCCGGGGGTTTTGTGAGACGGGCACGTCCGCCGATCTGGGGTCGGGCCCCCGGAGTCGCAGTTGCCGCGGGAGGAACCAGCGAATAGAGACAGAGCCCAGGATGTCCCGTCTGTCCACACCCTGTGGTTGTGGATGTTCGTGCTCCCCTGCGTCCCCAGTGTTCTCTCCTCCTTTCCTGGATATCGACGTGTCTGTGTCTGTGTGTGTGTGTGAGTGAGTGTGTCTGTGTGTCTGTGTGTCTGTGTCTCTCTCTCTCTCTCTCTCCCTCCTGACGAGCGCCTCACGGAGCGCTGGACGTGGATACGTACTTCCCTTGAGGACCAGCCCGAATGGAGCGAGCAGATGGGCTCGGAGAACCGCAAATACATCGCCGTCGGGGATACTCTGACCTGGGTCAACCCATACAGGGGACCCTCGGGCATTGTAGGATCCAGAAAGATCCTGCAGGATGCTGCACCCAACCCTGGGCCAATACACCCCTGGCCCTGCGGTATCCTGCATGACTGGGCGCTCCGACGGACCCCCGCTTGCACTGACGCCCGTCCCTTTGGTCCTCGAGCCCAGACCCGCAGCGTCGTGGTTGTGTCACAGCGTCTGCCACCAGAGGTCTCGATCCCTCCCCTGGGACAATTTTTTCATCCTGAATCGTTTTTCGACGGTCCCGAGGCCCGGTGAGGGCCCCCGAAGGCCGAAAATGGCGAAGCACCTCCCGTCGCGATTCCTTCACAGCGCGAACAACCCGTTTGCATTGACGCCCGTCCCTTTGAGCCCCGACGCCGATGCATCGCTGGTGCACACGTGACGCCGGGCGACAGGCATCGGTCGGGATCCCACCACAAGGGGGGATGACCCTGACGGGGGGGCAAGAGTTCGATCCGCTGGTGCACCGAACTGCCGCACACAGATGCGACCCGCATGCCCCACCTATCGTCAACTATCCAAATGCTCCCAACTTCGCGCTTCGCGCTGCGCGAAGCGAGGAGTGCGAATCACTTTGCGCTCTCGCGCCGCCTCCCAGGGGAGAAGAGGAAGATGAGGAGGACTCGGAGCCGAGCCGCGAAGCGCGCAGCGCGAAGAACCTTGCGCCTTCGAGGGCGCCCATGCTGTCGGGAGCTGCCGGCGGCTGGAGGGCATCTGCTTCGGGCGCCTCGGTGTCAAAACGATCGAGCTCACACACACCCCAGGGCTTACGATGCTCCGACCTGCTTTAGCCTGGACCACCAGGAATAGTTTCGAGCATCAAGAACGTACCGAAACTGAAGGGTTTTCACGTGTCGGGCCTCGGGAGGCGATACTCGTTCGACACTGTTTCGACCTTTTCCTGGGCGCTCGAGATCATTTCTGGGAGGTGGTCCTCAAGTACGCCAGAAGCAGCGGAATCCTGGTTTGGGCTTCAAGTCGGGCCTGTCCCTGTACAGGAGGATAATTCAAAAAAAGTCCAAACATAGTCTGGGGGCGATTTTTTGACTATGTTTGATCATTCGGGGGTATTTTTGTTGTATTTTATCTTTTTCGCCCAAAATCCCCCTGCAGGGGGACACGCCCGACTTGGTTTCGCGAGGCGCGCGGGACGAAGCCGAAGTCAAGTCGGGCGTGTCCCCCAGGGGGATTTGGGGCGAAAAAGAACAAATATCCCAAAAATACCCCCGAATGATCAAACATAGTCAACAAATCGTCCCCAGACTATGTTTGGACTATTTTTGAATTATCCTCCACTTGAAGCCAAAACCAGGATTCCGCTGCTTCTGGCGTACTTGAGGACCACCTCCCAGAAATGATTCCGAGAGCCCAGGAAAAAGTCGAAACAGTGTCGAACGAGTATCGCCTCCCGAAGCCCGACACGTGAAAACCCTCCAATTTCGGCACGCTCTTGGTGCTCGAAATTATTCCTGGTGGTTCAGGCTAAAGCAGGTTGGAGCATCGTAAGACGCGCATCAAATCCGGTGAGGATCCGCCGGCCCCCTTGTGGGGCCACCAGGCTGTAGGCCCGTGATTCGCAGTTTCCTGTACCAGTCGTAGGTTGTAGTTTCCAGTGTTACAGTTCTGCTTCTTGCTGCTTACTGTAACTAGTTGACTTATTGCAGGTTACTGTAACTAGTTGATTGACCGCGCGAGGGGGGGGGAGGCCCAAACTGACTTTTTAGCTCCCCCTGGGCGCGTTGTCTGAATTGCTGGGGGGGCTCGAAATCGACACCCCTCACGCAGATCCGCGGGGTCAGGGTCCAAAAACACATGGGATTTGCCACATTTCTGAAATTCGGTGCCACCCCTCACGCAGATCCGCGGGGTCAGGGTCCAAAAACACAGGGGATTTGCCACCCCTCACGCAGACCCGCAGGGTCAGGGTCCAAAAACACAGGGGATTTGCCACATTTCTGAAATTCGGTGTCATCCCTCACGCAGACCCGCAGGGTCAGGGTCCAAAAACACATGGGATGTGCCACATTTCTGAAATTCGGTGCCACCCCTTCACGCAGATCCGCGGGGTCAGGGTCCAAAAACACAAGGGATTGCCACATTTCTGAAATTCGGTGCCACCCCTCACGCAGATCAGCGGGGTCAGGGTCCAAAAACACAGGGGATTTGCCACATTTCTGAAATTCGGTGCCACCCCTCACGCAGATCCGTGGGGTCAGGGTCCAAAAACACAAGGGAACTGCAACATTTCTGCAATCGGTGCCACCCCTTACGCAGATCCGCAGGGTCAGGGTCCAAAAACACATGGGATTTGCAACATTTCTGAAATTCGGTGCCACCCCTCACGCAGATCCGCGGGGTCAGGGTCCAAAAATACATGGGATTTGCCACATTTCTGAAATTCGGTGTCACCCCTCACGCAGACCCGCAGGGTCAGGGTCCAAAAACACAGGGGGACTTGCCACATTTCTGAAATTCGGTGCCACCCCTCACGCACATCCATCGCAAGGCGTGGTAACCCAAACTACGAGTACTCCCTCGGCCCTTTAATCCCAAGGTGTGGTAACCAAGCTCGTAAACCATACACGTCTTACCAATCGCCCTGAGTGGTAACCCCTCTTGTGATCAGTTGGTTTTGCCGATTGCGAATCGGCCTCGCATGAAGTTCCGATACTGCTGCACGACAGCGCCAAAGCCTCATGACTTAGCTCTTCCATGGCCCATTCTCCGAGAGAGGGGGCCGGCGGCAGGGGGCGAAGCCCTTACGGATAAATCAGGTCTCCGAGATCCGACGGCTCTGGAGAATGTCTCGGGCGCTGCGGCATGCTCAGAGCGTTCAGGAACGCTCTGAGAGAGCTCTGGAAGGCTCTGGAGCGGATTTATCATCGTCCTAGCCCCGTACGAATACGTCTCCAAATCGGTGGGCACGGAAACGGAAGGTTCACGTCGCGAGAGAGTCTGCGCTGGTCCCTGGCTCCGAGCGATCGTGGCTTAACGGTAGCGCAGAGCGGTTATATTGGTCGATGCTGGACCACTGGCGGCATTCGGCCTTGAACGCTGACAGTGGCACGGAACGCGGCGCGATCCTCTACGTATCGGCAAATCGGGCAGATTCCTCCTCCCATTCTTGACGAAACCCACTCCGTATCTGTCCCCGTGGGGTCTTTCCAGGGCAATATCTCAGCCCGGGTCGGCTACTGACGGCCACGGGGCCCGAAACGAATCGGTGGAGGGCGAACGTTCTCGATCCCCCCTCTGGAGGGGCCCAGGGACACACAAAGAGATACACACAGATCCCAGGAACCTCTCACATCCCTTCCGCACATCATCTGCATCGTCGTCTGCCCCCCCTCCCCCACTTCCCATACTTCCCCACACTTCCTTGGACACCGACGACGATCTGTGCTCGTGCTCTTTTTGCCTCCCTCCCGGGCGCGGTCGGCGGCGCAGGCAGGGGCGCGGAGCGCGTGCGCAGGGGGAGGGGAGGGGAGGGGGAGGGAGGGAGTAGTAGTAGTAGTAGTAGCAGCAGTAGTAGTAGTAGTAGTAGTAGTAGTAGTAGTAGTAGTAGTAGTAGTAGTAGTAGTAGTAGTAGTAGTAGTAGTAGTAGTAGTAGTAGTCGCAGTAGTAGTAGTAGTAGTAGTAGTAGTAGTAGTAGTAGTAGTAGTACTACTACTACTAGTACTAGTAGTAGTAGTACTAGTACTCGTAGTAGTAGTAGTAGTAGTAGTAGTAGTAGTAGTAGTAGTAGTAGTAGTAGGAGGAGGAGGAGGAGGAGCAGGAGGAGGAGGAGGAGGAGGAAGAGGAGGAGGAGGAGGACCCCTCCGCACCGTGCCGCGAGCCACCTGCCTTCGCGCACTGTGCCCCGCGCGCTGCACCGCTCAGCTCTGCGCACCCTCGCGCCGCCGCCCTCTCCCAGAGGAGGCTCCGAGCACGTGCGGCCAAAGCACGGCACCAGCGCCCCACAAACGGGGACTCCAATAACGGGTACTCTGGCCAGTGACCCAGCGAACCCAGCCCTTTCCGATGCGGGCAACGCTGCATTGCCAGAGAGAGGCCCTAAAGTGGCAACTTTCGGCAAACCTCCAAAGTACCCGTTTGTGAGTACCCGTTACGGTGCCACTGAACTGCACCCCCTCGCCGATGTACCGGAGATGCATCGGCGACGTGGGCGTGGAGAACGTCGGACTCGCGATAGGCCGGGCGTGTCCCCCTACAGGCCGATTCCGGACGAACAATAACGAGCAGTCAAGAGCAATTCAAAAATGATCACAAATAGTAGAGGAATCGTCCCAAGACTGTGTTTTGACTGTTTTTGAATACTCCTCCTGTAGAGGGACACGCCGACTCAAGACTCGCACCACATCGCCAGTGCACCGGCGACGTCGCGCCGTATCGCCGATGCAGCGGCGATGCGGCGCGATCCCCCGACCCCAGCTTCGCGAGTTGCTGAAGGTGCCCCTGGCCCAAGGTGCCCCCCAGGATCATCAAGGAGGCCCCCACGGTTAAGTTGGGCCTGTCCCTCTACGGGAGGAATATTCAAAAATACTAAAAAAATTGTCTGGGGACGATTTCTTTGAATATTTTTGAATATGTCTGGAATATGTATGGGGGTATTTCTGCTTTTTCGTCAAGAATGCGCCTGTATGGGGACATGCCCGACCTAACCCCACGGCCTCCAGAGCACCCCTCACGAGGCCCCGAAGGCCTCCGGAGCTCCAGAATGGAGCGAGCAGCTGGGGGCCCCCTGTAGCAGTCCCGCGGGGCCCGCTGGGGGCACCTTGGGCCAGGAGCACCCTCTCGGAGGCCTGGAAATGGGCACCAACACCAACACAGGGGGGGGCCTCCACAGGGGGAAGATGATCCTAGATTCCGGTGCTGGTGGCAAATTTTCGGCCACCCTGGAAGCCAGAATACTACCACCATCCCCGAGATCGGGATCCTCTTCCCCTCGATGGAGGCACACCGCCGATGTTGGTGTTGGTGTCAACCTCTAGGCCTGCGACCCTTCGCAACTCCCGCCGTCTGTCGGCGGCGCGCGAAGGGGGGAAGTAAGGAGGAGAAGGCCCTGTCAGAAACTTCGGAGTTCCCCCGGCCCTCTGGGGAGCTCCCGAAGCCTCCCCCGAAGAGACGGAGCAGCCTCTCAGAGGGCAGGAAGGCTTCGGAGAAGTCCCGCCGCCCTCTGAGAGGGCCTTCTCCCTCTCGCTCCCCCCTCTCGGGGGCGCGCAAACATGGATTAGCGATCCATGGATTTGGCGCTCGGTCGCCAAATCCATGGATCGAGGGAGGTGCCCTCCCCCACAATGCGGCCGGTGCCGCCTCCTTCGGCGGCGGAAATTCGCGAGTTCCCCTGGAAACGGGGCGCGTCGCTAATCCACGCCCCCACACAGTCGGGCTGCTGAAAGAAGGGACGCTAAATAAGGAACGACGCCCCTTCTTGGCCCTGTAAGCGCCTCCGTGCCCGAGGAGGGCAAGAGGAACAGCACTGGAGGAAGCCGAGGAACATCGAGCCCCTTCCAAACCCAAACTGTTCCTTATTTCACGAGTCTTGACTGCCTAGGCGAGGGACGAGGGGAGGAGGAGGAGGCGGAGGAGGAGGAGGAGGAGAAGGAGAAAGAGGGGGAGAGGGATGAGAAGGAGGATGAGAAGAAGGAGGAGGAGGAGGAGGACCTCCCCCTTCATCCATGTGTGCGATCGCCTGACCCCCCTCGCCGCCTAGTCTGGGAGGCCGCGCGAGCATCTCCGGGCCCCCTGCGGGGGGTGCCCCGGGGGCTGCCCACGCGCGCCCCTGCGGCGCCCCGCCTGCCTGCCGCGTGTAACGAAGCGTGGGTCGGGCAGGTCCCCCTACGGGCGGATCTCGGAGGAAAACTGAAGCATGGCCCAGATATGCAAAACACACACACACACACACACGCACGCACGCACGCACGCGCGCGCACGCACGCACGCACGCACGCGCGCGCACGCACGCACGCACGCACTTACGCACGCACGCACACACACATAGATAGATAGATAGATAGATAGATAGATAGATAGATCGATAGATATATATATAGATAAATAGATATATCGATAGGTATGTATATGTATAGACATATAGATAGATAGATAGATATATATATATATATATAGATAAATATATATATATAGATCTATAGATACATATAAACATATATATAGAGAGATAATTTGATATAAAGATATATATGTGTATAGCTATAACTATCTATGTGCATATATAAATATATATGTAGATATATCTATATATATATGTATATATATATAGAGATATATGTATGTATATAGACATATAGATAGATATAAAGATACATACATACATAGAAATATACATCCATATATATATATATATATATATATATATAAATCGTAGAAACATCGTCCCCAGTTCATCTTGTTTACTGTTTTCGAATTCGGTGGGGGCATTTTTGTTTGCACCCACGAGCGGGCGCGTGCTTGCACATCAACTCTTGGCGCCGCCGCCCGACGCAGCTCGAACGGAGCCGCGCGGCAGGCCCCCTATCGGCCGAGGAGCGAGGCGATCACGGTGGGGGCGTTGGCTAAGGAGCCCTTGGAGAAGGAATCCAGGGTCCCTCCAAGAGACCCCCAGGAAGCCCCAAGAGGCCCCCAGGGTCTGGAGGCCAGGGGAACTCCACTTGAGGCCTGGCCATGGATATCACCGCCGCCCTCATCAGACGAGGAATCCTCCAGGGTCTGCAGCCTCCCGAGCGCCGTCCTCAGCCGAAGCACCCCCGCATCCCTCCTGTAGAGCTTGGGTCGGGCATGTCCCCCTGCATGCGGGTTTGGGAGAAATAAAAATGCCAAAGAAGGGGTTCTGGAGGAAAAATACAAGCAAATAGCCAAGGAGCGCAACCACAAATATCACAAATGGTCGAAGAATCGTCCCCAGACTATCTTTACACTACTTTTGAACATTCCTCCTGTGGTTGAGCAGGGACCGACCGTCCCGGCATTCCTATAGTCCTACCACGAAGTGTTCTTAGAATCGAGCATTTTCGAAGAACAAAAACAAAGTTCTTAGAACATAGACCCGATGTGTTAACACAAGACAATCTCAACCATACATGTTCTAAGAACAGTTCGTGGAAACCCCAAAAGGTTCTTAGAACACTGTTTGGCAGGGCTATCGGCGAGCCAGGACGCTTCGCCACTGCTTGATGTAGAGCGGCACGCCCGACTTCAAACGAAGCCCCTGGCGCGGCGCCGCTGAGCCGCGCCCGCGCCGCCGCCAGCCCAGCGAGGCGCGGGTGCCAGCGGCACGGCCTCGGGGGGAGGCGCCGAGAGGGGGCCGCCGGTGCGCACCGAGGCGAGGCCAGGGCGCGGGTGCGAAGGGAGTCCCACGGAGAGGGAGGAGGAGGAGGAGGAGGAGGGAGGAGGAGGAGGAGGAGGAGGAGGAGGAGGAGGAGGAGGACGAGGAGGAGGAGGAGGAGGAGGAGGAGGAGGAGGAGGGGGGGAGGAGGGTTCCGAGATGCCCCGATTCCAGCTGATCTGCCCCGACGAGCCGTATCACAAAGATGCGTGGTAAGGATGCAAGGGCCTTGGAGGGCCACGTGAGCGTTTTTCGAACAAGGTCGGCCACCCAAAGTTGCCAAAGAAAGTGGCTGAGAGCGACTACATACCAGACCACCCCAACCTAACCCCTGAAGACTCAAGTTTTCGGGTCGGGGGGGGGGTACGGATTCCATCTGTGTGTTCCTCAAAGTTCCCCCGACTCCCCCCCCACTCTGGAGATGGAAGGCACAATGAGGCCTTCGGGTTGGGCTGGGGTGGCTTGATGCGCGGTGAGAGAGGGGGCCGCAAGTGCATGCTGAGACGAGGCCGGTACGAGGACACGCCCGGGTGAGGAGAACTCGGCGGACATCTTTTCCTCCTCCTCCTCCTCCTCAGCCTCCTCCTCCTCGGCCTCCAACTCCTCCCCTCCTCCTCCTCCTCCTCCGCCTCCTCCTCTCCTCCTCCTCCGCCTCCAGCTCCTTCCCTTCTCCTCCCGCCCCTCCTCCTCCTCCTCCTTCTCCTCCTCCTCCTCCTCCTCCGCCTCCTCCTCTTCCTCCTCCTCCTCCTCCTCCTCCTCCTCCTCCTCCTCCTCCTCCTCCTCCTCCTCCTCCTCCTCCTCCCCTATTCTAAATCATTTCTGAGTGGAGCATCGTTGGCGGCGGCCAGCAGCCGTCCACGGCGCGGGCCGCCACATCCTTCGACCAACAGTGGCACAGGTCCTCCGCGACGTTACGGAGCACGCCGCAGAGGGCCGCCACGTGCTCGTTGAGACGAAGCCAGGACAGGATCAATTCGGATCAGGATAAATCAATCATCTCTGAGATCCGGCAGCTTTGGAGGATGTATCGGGCGCCGCGGCCGTCTCAGCGCATTCTGGAACGCTCTTACATTGTTCCTGAACAGTCTGGAACAGACTTATCCTTGTCCTAGGCCCACGCAATACACGGAGGTGTACGTTGGGAGACGACTCCTGAGAGGTCTTCCAAAAGAACTACTGACACTGCTGAGCCCGATTAGAGGGCCATTAAACCAAATCAGGCGGGACTGAGACAGCGTGATCAAACCGGCTTAAGCCAAATTAAGTCGGATCAAGCTGGATTAAGTCGTACTGAGACCGCGGGATCGAGCCAGATTAGGCAAGCTTCCAACCAGGGATTTACCAGCATCGACTCAGAACCTCATCCCCCAGGAGCTGCATCCTGGCGACGGGCCTACGGCCCAAACATAGTGCACGTGATCTGTTGCACGTCACACGCGCGCGAACATACCCTACATTTTCTGGGTTTTCGTCTCCCCCCACTTCCCATATTTTCCCATATGTTCTGGGGAATCGAGGATTAATTGTGTCTGTGTGTTTTTTCCCTTCAACGGACGGGCTCTCGCCGAACTGGGACCGACGGACAGGCGGAGCGGGGAGAGCGACGTCATGTGTTGGCGGCGCGCACAAGGGGGTGGAGGGAGGGGGGAGGGCATCTTAGAAGGAGGCTGCTTCTTAGAATGCGCCAGCCTTGCACCTATAGACAAGGCCCGCGCCTTCGAGGAATCAGTGGTGCTTCTGAGAAGCCCTCCCCGCTCTGGGCGTGGCTGACTGTGACGAGCCCAGGTCGGCCCAGCGATCGGCAGGGGACCCCCCCGTCGGCGGTCAGCGCCGATCCTCGGCGCTGGACAAACCTCCCTTCAGTAGACCTCCCCTTGGCGAAAACGGCCTGGGACCGAAACCGACGGACCTGGACCCGCAAAAATGACGGCCGCGACGCCCTCTCGCGAACCGAAAACGGCCAATTCCTTAATCGACGTGTCAGGGTAGGAGGAACGAGCCATGATGAACGCAGCCACGACGAGAACAGCTACGACCATCAGCCACAACTACCACGCCCAAAATCACCACGTGAGCAGGACCACGAACACACGGCTAGTAAGACGACGGCCGCGGCAGAACTGAGAGCCTGCGGTAAACTGCGATCCACCTCTGAGATCCCCCCTGCCTCGCACCGACGCGCTCCACGGCTCCGGAAGGACACGGGCCCCGGACCCTGGGGCTCTCCCCCGAGGAACGGCCCACCGTCCCAGAGCGACCTGCGCCACCCTGGCGCCTGGGTACAGGTCGGGGCGTTGACCTAAGGAGCCCCAAGGAAGGAACGAGGCCCCTGGATCCCAAAAGTTAGGCTTCGATTTACCATCGAAAACCTCCGGGAAAAACCCAAGCCAAGCTGTAACACAATCAAGGGACACCGAGCCCCTCCCCAACGAGAAGGGGTCCGTCTTCAGCGCCCCGACTGTAAGGGCTCGGAGAGGCCGAAGCCGGCGAGACGCCTGAGGACCTTGGAGAGCAAAACCAACATCGGTGACGCGCCGCCGCGGGAAACCGATCGTCGTGCCCCCGTCGAGAACAGACGGCAAATAATACCCCCCCACGATATGAGCACGAAGCCGTTTACTAAACGCCCCCACTGCGGGAACCGAGCAAAACAGGGCTGGTCAGTAAACGCCCAGGGCCGTATAGTAAACGCCGATTGTCCGGTCCGGGTGGCTGTTCCTCCCTTGAGAGGACCACCAGTATCAACACGCGGATGGAGTCCAGGCAGCGGCGCGTCCTTTCGCTCGCACCCCCTGCTTTGACAAGATTCCGAGGCCCCTGGTGGGCTCTCTGGAACGCCCCCTCCCCAAAAACCCCCTTTGGAACCCTCTGGCCTGGGGGAAGCGGGTCTTGCACCCCGGAGCCCCGAGGACCGGTTCTCCGCCCAGGGACAGTACAATTGACGGCCCCGCGGCCGGGAAGGGCCGCGAGAGGCAGACAACCACTAGGAGAAAAACCTCCTGGCCCCTCTGCAGGTGGAGGAACGCTCAGGAAGGACAGGCTCAGGTGGGGAAGCAGCGAGCCGGAGTCGGCAATGCATCGCCGACGGATCTGAGATAGACCCATGACAGCGAAGCCTTGCTTTCCTGCGTGGGGTGGGCTATCGCATCGGCCATGCACGGGCGCTGCGTTCGCGCCTGAGCCTCTCAGTTCCGAACGTTGCCCCTGATCCCCTTCGGGCCGCTTCCCCTCTGGGGAGGAGGAGGAAAACGAGGTAACTACACGCGAACCTTAACCCGTGCAGGTCAGATCTCTGACAACAAAAAACCTTGGCGCGGATCCATAGCTGAAGGATTCCTGCAACCAAGCGGACCGCGGGGGGGTCCGATACCCCAGAGTCGCCTGGACCCGTATGAGTAGGGTTCGCAGAAGATCGAAATACATATCGGAGAGGCGGTGGAGAGGGAGGTGGTGGAGGACCCTCAGATCTGGCACTGCAGCCAAAAGTGCGGCATCGCGAAAAAGTCTGGACCAGGACCGAGGATCCCATCTCTCTGCAACATGCTTCGAGACGGAACGGTCCCTGAGGGTCCCCAGGCCCGAAGCAAGGTGAGAAGCGCCCGCTGGGGAAAGATGGCGGCGCCCGAGTCCGGAGGGGGGGGAGGAAACGGAGAAGCCGGACTCCTCGCGCGAGCCCCGACGGCCTCGGGGATCTACTGACCCAGGCCAGCCCAGACCCGGGTCAGTCAGGCCTTGCAGGATCCTGCACCCAAACCCGGGGCAGTGCGACCCTGGCTCTGCAAGATCCTGCAAGATCTGGCGCTCTGGCTGACCCCTGTTTGCATTGACCCCCGTCCCTTGAGCACCGAACCCAGATTGCATTCGTCGTGATTGTGTCCAAACGTCTACCCCCAGAGGAGGTCTTGACCTCTTCCCCGGGACTGGTTCTTCGTCCTGAGTCGTTGTTTGACGGTCCCGAGGCCCGGTGAGGGCCCCCGGAAGCCGAAACTAGCGAACGACCTCCTGTCGTGACTTCCCACAGCGCGAAAAACTTGCCGTTTGCATTGATCGGGATACGCCCAAATGGCGTAACCCTGAGGGTGGGCACCGAACTGCCGCAGACAGACGCCCCCCGTACGCGCCCCACCTACCGGCATTCATCGGGAGCTGCCTGCTGCTGGGGGAGATCTGCTTCGGGCGGCTCGGTGTAAACACCGATCGAACTCACACACACCCCGGGGCACCCCCTCCCCCTTTGCTAGAAGAAGAACTGCCACAAACACAAACTGTTGGTGTTCCGAGCGGACTTCTAGCATCTGCGCCGGACCCCCGTCTCCGGCGCGCGGAGCGCGCCAGAGGGCCGGAGGCGCCGCCGGGAAACCTCCAGCGCGGATCAAAGAAATCCGCGCGGAACGCCACAAGTTTCTGTTTATAGCGTTGCCTTCTTCGAACTGCTCATGGGCCGATGCTCCACCACCGCTACCATTATATAGGAGAGGGAGGAGGGGGAGGAGGAGGAGGAGGAGGAGGAGGAGGAGGAGGAGGAGGGACGACGACGCCGACGGGGGAGGAGGAGGAGGAGGAAGAGGAGGAGGAGCAGGACGACGACGACGACGACGGGGAGGAGGAGCAGGAGGAGGAGGACGACGACGACGGGGAAGAGGTGGGGCGAAGCGGGGAGGACGAGGAGGAGGAGGAGGAGGAGGAGGACCTCCCCCGTCCCACCCATGGTTCGTGGTGGTGGACCCCCCGCGGTGGACCCCCCGCCGCTTGGCCACCCGACGGCCGCAGGCCCCGCGCCGCCCGGTGGCCGTTGGTGAGGTCCAGGGCGCGCCGGGCCACCGCCAGCAGCTCGGGGGAGTCGGGGCCGAGCGGCGCCGCCCTCGCTCGGCGCGTCGCCGCCGCGGGGGCGGACGCCGACGCCGCGGTGGCCGCCAACGTTCGATCCTCCTCCTCCTCCTGCTCCTCCTTCTCCTCCCCGCTTTGCTTCGTCCTCCTCCTCCTCTTCCCCGTCGTCGTCGTCCTCCTCCTCCTCCTCCTCCTCCTCCTGCCCGTCGTCGTCGTCGTCCTCCTCCTCCTGCTATTCCTCCTCCTCCTCCTCCTCCTCCTCCACCTCCTCCTCCTCCTCCTCTTAGGTTTCTTCCCACTCCTTCCCCTTTCCTCCTCCTCCCCCTCCTCCCCCTCCTCCACGTCCTCGCCCTCCTCATCCTCCTCCTCCGCCTCCTCCTCCCCCTCGTCGTCCTCCTCATCCTCCCCGCTTCTCCTCCTCCCCCTCCCTCCTCAGCCTCCTCCTTTTTCATCGGTCGCCTGCGCGCCTCCTCCTCTTCCTCCTCCGAGGATCGATTACAGATTTGATTTACCCCAGTATTTTTTACATGTGCAAGCAAATGCGTATAATGCTCCGTACATGTACGGAGCATTTTACGTGATTTTCGCAGAAAAGTCGGCGGCTAAACAAATGTTGGGGTGAATTAATTATGTAGTCGATCCCCTACTCGAACTTCGGCGTCGCCGCCACCGTGGTCGTCAACGTCGACGTCGCGGCCGACGTGAGAGTCAGCGTCGCAGCCACCGCTCCCGTCGGCGTCGCCGCCGAGACGGTCATCGACGCCGACGTCGTGGTCGGCGTCCGCGTGTTCGTCGCCGCCGTGGATCGGGCTGCCGGTGGCTCCAGGGACCCCGAGGGGCCAGGAAGACGAGAGGGATGTGCGGGGAGGCGGGCCCCTGAGCTGCAGGGAGAGGAGGGGGTGAGGTGGGATGGTTGGGGGGGGGGCGAGCCAGGCGCGCTCGCGGCACATCCGACGTCTCATCCCTTCCTCACATCCCGTCCCCTTGCGTTGACAATTTTCTTTCCGCCAGCGGGTGTCATAGGGGACCTGGAACATTCAAGATGGCCCTATCGCGCTACGCACAATATGAAAGGGATGATGTGCAACTACAGTGAAGGAGGTGGCGGATGAGCAGGAGAAGAACGAGAATGATGACGAACGAGGACGAGAAGGCACACTAGCAGCAGCGCCAGAAGGAGCGGGAGGAGCAGGAGGACCAGGGGAAGGCGGATGAGATGAAAGGAAGGCGGCGACAACGACAAGGAGTCCCCCGGATCCAGAAGAAGTGGCAAGCGCAAGTCCCGGTTCCTGAACGACGGGAACACCACTGTGGAAACACGGATCACGCTCGGACTGGAAAAGAAATACAAGACAGCTCGCCGTGTGGGCCCCACCGCCAAGCCAAACGGCGAGCATAAATCGGGCGTAGCCCCGCACGCATCCGAATGGCCACACCACTCGTATTCCTCCCCGATTTCGTCCTCGTTTCTCCTTTTCCTCCTCGTGCTCATCCTCCTTCTCCTGGCAGAGGTCTGTCGGCGTGATGCGAACGCGAGAACAACGCGGAGCGCGTGAATTTTGTCCTGGGTCCCATCCGCACAGATCGTTGATAGATCGGCCGTGGCAGCTGCCACCAATGACGCCAAGCGCTGCAGTATTCAATGGTGCAGTTGCATGTTGATGGAAGGTACAACATGTGGTGGATGTTTTGCCTGCGCGGTGCGCTGCATGAACCCCATCGTTTTTCCCTGGGATCGGCGGCGGAGGCCATAGGTTGCTTTCTAAGTTGCGCCATACATTGCGCCCTCGGCGACTGAGAATAGAATCGTCTCTAATCGGTTGCGCCATGGATTGTGACCTCGGCGACTGAGAATATGACCATCTGCAATCGGTTGCGCCATAATTTGCGCCCTCGGCGGCCGAGAATCAAACCGTGTCCTATCGGTTGCGCCATAGGTTGCGCCCTCGGTCGGCGGCCGAGAATAAAACCTTCTCTTATCGGTTGCGCCCTCGTCGGCTGAGAATTCGCCGGCCGAACGGGCCAGAGGCGTGCTAAGATCTCCGGTAACTGGTTCACAATATTTCTAGTTCGCGCGCGCGGGGCGGCCCCTGGGGGTCCCCGGACGAAAAGTACCCCGGCAAGGTCCCGGGAGAAGCCCCCAGAGCGCTCCAGGAGCGCACCAACAGGGCCCGGAGACGTCCCCGAGAGTCCCAAGAAGGGCTAAGAGAGAGTTCCAAGAAGAGCCAACAGCGCCCAAGAGGCCCCCAAGATGGTACACCAAGGGTTCGAGATGCCACAAGATCGCTCCAAGACGCCCAAGATGGCCCCCAGACGCCCCAAAAGGCCTCCAAGAGCACTCTCAAGAGGGCCCCAAGATGCAACAATCATTGCTTTCCCGTAGGTTTTGGACAGATTTTGGTGTCTCCACCTTTTCGGCTTCCCGACACCCCAAGACGGCTCAAGGGGCCCCCAAGATCGCCCCAAGAGGGCGCAAGAGGCCCCCAAGAGGGCCCCAAGACGGCCCAAGAGGGCCCCAAGAGGCCTCCAAGACGGCCCAAGAGGGCCCCTAGAGCGCCCCAAGAGCGGCCCCAAGGGGGAAGCATGAAACAACATTTCGAGCCCTCGGTCCTGAGAGGCCCCCAAGCCCCAAGAGGTCCTTAAGAGGCCCCCAGGGGCCCCCAAGAGCCCTCAGGAGGCCCCCAAGACGCCCCCAAGAGACCCCCAAGAGGCTCTAAAAAGGCCCCCAAAAGGCCTCTTGGGAGCCCGCAAGAGGCCCCCACGGGCTGGCGGAATGAGCGAAGCGATTCAATAAAACTGTCAACTATCAGTTGCGCCATAGGTTGCGCCCTCGGCGGCTGAGGATAAAACAGTCTCCGATCGGTTGCGCCAAAACTTGCGCCCTCGACGGCCAAGACTAGAACCATTTCTTCTGGTTGCGCCACAAGTTGCGCCCTCGGCGGCCGAGAATAAAACCGTCGCGTGTCGGTTGTGCCATACATTGCGCCCTCGGCGGCTGAGAATACAACCGTCGCCTATCGGTTGCGCCATACGTTGCGCCCTCGGCGGCCGAGAATAAAACCGTCTCTTACCGGTTGCGCCATAATTTGCGCCCTCGGCGGCTGAGAATAAAACCGTCTCCCATCGGTTGCGCCGAAATTTGCGCCCTCGTCGGCCGAGAAGATAACATTTTCTTGATCGGTTGCGCCATACATTGCGCCCTCGGCGGCCGAGAAGATCACCTTTTCTTCATCGGTTGCGGCATAGGTTGCGCCCTCGTCGGCCGAGAATGGAACCGCTTCATATCGGTTGCGCCATAGCTTGCGCCCTCGGCGGTCGAGAATAAAACCGTCTCCGATCGGTTGCGCCATTGTTTGCGTCCTCGGCGGATGAGAACAAAACAACCTCCTACCGGTTGCGACATAAAATGCGCCCTCGGCGGCTAAGAATAGAACCGTCTCCTATCGGTTGCGCCGTAGCTTGCGCCCTCGGCGACTGAAAATAGAATCGTCTCCTATCGGTTGCGGCATAAATTGGGCCTCCGGCAGCCGAGAATAAAACCGTCTCCTATCGGTTGCGCCATATTTTGCGCCATCGGCGGCCGAGAATACAACTGTCGTGTAGTGGGTGCGAGCAGTCTGTTCAGTTCAGTTCAATTCGGTTCTGTCAGTCAATTCACCTCGCGGAAAAAAAGGCACGCCCGAAACGAAACACGAACTCGTATCAATCCAGCATAACATGAAACCTAGACACACACGCACGCGCACACGCACTCGCAAACACACGCACGCACAGACACGCACACACACACACGTACACACGCACACACAATACGCACACACAAACACACGCACACGCACTCGCAAACGCGTACACACACGCACACACGCACACACGCACATACGCACACACATACACACGCAACGAACGCGCACACACACACACACACACACGCACACACATACATAACACACACACGCACACACGCGCACACACACACTTTTGTGTCGGCGGCTGGGCAGAGGGTGACTGCTCCGGCGATCTGGCATCAGGGGGGCACGCTAGATGCAAATTGGGCCGCGATGCACGTGGGAAGAGGAGGATACCCCGGCGCGACAGGAAGAGGGGAAGCCGGGCCCGCTCAGGCAAGTCACCGGCTGCGGTGGGAGGAGCGCCGAGGGGGTGGGAACCAGCCACGGCGCCGGCCGGGCAGCAGCTGGGGGGGGACGGCAGCCCAGCGGCGGCTGGGCACAGCCAGATGGGGCAGCAACACATGCGATGCGGTAGCCACACCGGTGGGGGAGCCGGCTGAGCAGGCGGACCCCCCCACACACACACACCCACACACACACACACGCACACTGTCACACACGCACACACACACCACACACACAAACGCGCACACGCACACACACACACGCACACACGCACGTACGCAAACACACACACACACATACACACACACGCGTACGCACACGAAGACGCACACACATAACGCACACACGCACACACACGCGTGCAAACACACACACGCACACACGCACACACGCACACACAACACGAACACACACACACATACACGCACGCATACACAGGCATTCGCACACGCACACGCATA